TCCTGTAGAAGTTTTGTGATCACTCACAATGTGCTAACATAGGACTCCCTCAGGAAAACAAGCAAGCCATGTACAGTAAGAAGGCTTGATGCTTCAGGGCAGGCACGTTTCTTTTGGTCACTCAGGACTAAACAGCACTAAGGCAAGACCTTACAGTGGGCTTCCAGTGCCTGAAGGGGGCTACAGGAAAGCTGAGGAGGGACTGTTCACAAGGGCGTGCAGTGACAAAACAAGGGGCACTGTTTTTAAACTAGAGCTGGGTAGATTTAGACTAAATATCAGGAACAAGTTCTTTTCAATGAGAGTGGTGAAACACTGGAAACATTTGTCAGGCTTCATGGGGCTCGGAGCAACCTAATCTAGTTAAAGATGTCCCTGCTCACTGCAGGGGGTTGGACTAGATGACCTTTAAAGGTCTGTTCCAGACCAACACATACTATGAGTCTATGATTCTAAGGCATAACAATATTATACTCTCTGCTGAGACCATATCTGGGAGAATACCTTTTTTATTTTACCACTTAAAAACCTTGAAATATTAGTTCGAGTCAGTGTCTTGGTTTTGGTTTTTTGTGGGGGGTTTTTGTTTTTTTTTTTCCTATTTGCTGATTGTGTCCTATTTGCAATGGTAAGAAACCACACTAAACCTCTTGCATTGTGGTGCAAGATCAGCAAGACAAAAAGAAATTACCACCTGCTTTGGGCTGCCTCCAGGGATCAGAAATTTCCCATAGAGGATTGCGTGGTTTCTGTGCATTTTACACAGTAAACAACATAGCTGAACTATAGCAGTCTTCTATACTGATTCCTACCTCTTTCCAGATATGTATTCTAAAGCCCTTAAATAAAGCATTCATTTCTACATACTTGAAAGGATAATAAACAGATGATGCTTGATTTATTTACTAATACACTACAAAACTTAACACAAGTTGTAGTTATCTACATTGTGGTTTACGTGCTTTTGACATACCTATGAGGGCTAAGTTATAAAAACCATAAATCAACACATTAGTCACCAAGTTTTTCAAGGGGAAAGATGATTCAGCTGCCAAGATCTGGGAACATGAGGCTGTACTGATAAAGACGATGATGAAATATTCAAGGCTGAGGAAGATAATTAGGCAGAGAGGATTGCTACAGCATTTGGTAGGAAAGAAAACATTTGCAGCCTGCAGCACTCCCACCACCATCCATCAGGCTCATAGAGGAGACATGATTCCTCCTCAGCTGGGAGTGCCTTTTTTCCTGTCAAGGCGGTTGTAGCTATATCCTGCTATGGACAACACTCCGAGAAAGGAACTGACCTTTTTTAAGGAATGTGTGATTATGGATTTGCAGATAATAATGATTTTAAAAGGATAAATGCAAGATTAAAGGAATCAGGCTGCACGTCCTAGAAAGGAAAAGATATGGTCTGGAAGAATGTAAAGATATCTAAGAGGAGAGTCATCAATTTTTAACTTGTGAAGAACTAATTAATTTTCAACAAAGAATATTTGATTATACATGAGACAACCTACCTCAATGGATAGTTAAGCATAGGAAAAATTGCCTGAAGAACATGTTTTAACCTGAGTCTATGAAGGAAGATGTGTTAGATTTTGTCTGTAAGACTGCAAGTCTGACTGCAGCAGCAGCAAGGAAGAATTAAAAGCAAATTTAAACTAATATTATCAGAAATGTAATGAAACATCTCAAGTGGAGCTCATTCTCTCGTGCCACTCTTCTCTTTTTCTGCCCCCAGGGAGGCAGCAGCAGGAGGTGGCTGTGCCCAAGGTGTTTGTGCCCTTTTGGCAGGTTGCTCAGAGGATGAGGAGCAGAGTCCCTCAAATCTCTCGTACAGCATCAGGAGCCACTGAAGCCTCATGGTACTGCTGAACAGGCTGAGAGCTCTTCTTGCACCCTCCTGCTTTGGCCTCAAAGCTGCCATCCAGCCTTCTAGGTTTCTTTTTCAATTTTCTTAGCAAGGCCCCTTGTATGAAGGCTCTAGGGTACAGTCTTAGCCTGATCTTAGAGACATAAAACTAAGGAGGATTTCATCTGTGAAAGGTCCCCTGCTTGGTATTCCCCTTAGCTATGATCCAGATGAGTTTAGGGAGAGATTTCAGCCCTTCCCACCCTTACACAGGCAAGTCAGTCAACACTTACACTGGCAGTATTATTATTTCCCCTCCTGAAGTTATCCACCTGGCCTCTATTTTATTAATACACTCATTCTTGAAAAGCACTGACTGCAGAAAATCCAAACAGTTTAGAAGACATTACATACGCATCAAGCATTTAGTTCCCTCAAACACTGACCTGTACTAAGTGCCACAGTAAGACATGTGGAAAGCAAAACACTCTGAGTAAAAGGAAGCTTTTTTTCAAACTAGCACTCAGGGAAACTAAAGCTGTAAAAGGCTCTGCTGTTTCCAGAGGGGGAAGAAAAAAAAATAAAGTTTAATCACGAAAGACACTAAGAAAGGTGCAGAGGGCATAGAGACCTCCCCTCCGTTCCTTTCTTGAGACATGTTACCCATCTAAAGCAACACTAGCACAGCAAGTGAGAGCTGTGGCCTGCAATAAAGTCATCTTCAGGTGGCTTGAATCCCAGCTGAGTGCTCCTTGGTGAAAATGAAGTTACAACTTGTGTCCTCTCCCCCTGGCCTTCTCACAGCTGCACTTTCTGAGGCAGACATCCCTCTCCTCTCTCGCTGTTCTGTTCTCAAGTCTGCAAGATGCAGCAAATGTTCCCATCACCTCAGGTGAGAAAATACACATCCTGGAGCTTTGTCACAACTATTTTTGTGTGAAGCAGCCTGTACAAAATGCTTTTCTTTTTTTCAACTGACTACTTCCTACCACCACTTGTGGGAGAAAACAGGGAGGCCAGAAAAGGAATCTTTGTGCTTTGTAACTCACGTGAAATGCAGACAGATTTTTTGGAAAGTGTTGCTTCTCAAGAGTAAGCATCAGAAAGTTCACCTCAGCAGGTGGGTATGGTAACTTACCCACTAGAGGCAGACAAGAAGTGATGGCAGGACCACAGAACACAGTCATAGGCAAGCGCAAGGCAACCCCAACTGCATGGCCACTCCAGTAAAAGCTTTATACACTTGAGGGGAGTCTTACTAAATCACAGAATTACAGAATGTCAGGGGTTGGAAGCGACCTGAAAAGATCTAGTCCAGCCCCGCTGTGATATGAGACAGCTGTGAGGGCAAGGGTTATAGAGTAAGAGGAATATTTCCATCAAAGTCCAAAGAATCAAATTATTTAAGAAGTTACAAAAATAATTGTACCATTCCATTGCTTTAAAATGCATTGTGTAACAGGTTTGTGGCAGGTGCAGCTTTTAAAGCTTAAGAGACAATATATCAGCTTCATTTCGATTGCTGGAAAAAAAAGCCACGAATTTAAAGAACACAAGGGCTAAGAGGTCTGCCTTTAGTCTAATTTCCTCTCCCTTTAATTTTGTAGAGGAAAACTGAATTCTAATTTGATGAAAGATTAGAAAGCATTGGCATTCAAAATCAAAAGAATGAAGATGAGTAGTCCAGGAAAATTATTCATGTAGACAAATCTGTTTTTTTTCTCTTAAGCCCCTGCTAAGGAACTTGAAAATTAGGTTGGTATTGTTCTAGAGAGTACCATAACCAATATTGACATATACAGGAACAAAACTATTTCTGTGAAAATTCGAGGATTTATAGTTAGTTTTCCACAACACCCTAATGTTATTAAATAGAAGTTAGCTTCCAGTTGATAGAAAAAAAGGGGGTTCACTCTGATGAACAAATTTACATGATTTTGACAAATCCTCCTACAGAAGAAAATGTGAAAGATTTAACAAAAAGCAGTTTCACTGTGTAAGGTGCATTTATTGCTGTTCTACATCAAACTTGAGGGAAAACCACATTATTCAACAAGCTAGTTAAATACACAGAACAACTCAGAATCCAGTCTTACTCTGGCATCACAGAGTTACTTGACTTACAAGGCAATTCTCAATATTGCTTGAAATTTTTAGTGCACAGAATTAAGTTTGGCTCAGAAGACATCAACAGTAATAGTACTTTGAGTGCCACTGTGCTCAACTTGCACCATGTGTTCCAGAAAAATCCTTTGTGGCTTTTGCCCCATGGTACTAGCTACAAGTTTTTGAAGATTGTACCAGAATTCATGACGTGGAGCTCCAAAAGATTACACCCAATTTTGTGTCAGCCCCTTCTATGGGAACACCGACACTGTCGGTTATACCATACTGACTTAGTTTAAGCAAGAGTTCAAGCTGGTCCTACTTAAAAGAAACAAGAAGTTTCCAATAAAAGCAATGTTTTCTCTCAGCTCTTACACAAGCTAAAGAATAAGGCCACTGCAACTTGGTCCATTTTGTTTTCCCATTAAAAAAACAGTATGAAGGAAACATTGTCAGTTAAGTTTAAATGTCACACATTGCATAACCCAAGATACAAAGGTTTTTTTGCTAACATGTCACAGTAAGAACAAAATGCCCCAGTTCAGGTTGGGTGGTAAAGGTGCATGACTGTGTACCCCAAAACAAGTCTCACTAGAAGACAGGCTGCTTGCTAACGGGCTCTTTGTGATGGGAAATTTATTCTTTCTGTTAAAATTAAAGAGGAAGCTATTCCATTAGACACATTTATTACGTGACTAGCCACTACAGCTCAACAGCCGTTGGCAGAATCGATGGTTAAGCAGCAATACAAATACTGTGATAAAAACTGAAGAAGTTCACCGCAGTACTGCTGCTTAACATGCCAAGTCTCTTCTACAAAGTAAACAGTATTTTCAAGTTAAAGTACAGATCCTTCCAAGCTACTTTTAAGTATCATGCACAGTATTTATCTATTTACTTTTGTTCTTTCCCCAATAAAAATAATTTCTATCATGCTTCTCAACACGCATCTGTGTTACACTATCATGTATTCTTCCTTTGCCAACTATTTGGTTTTGATGTGGGACTACAAAATAAATTTCTAGAGCACTTGGTATTAGAATAACCAAACAGTTTTAATAAAAAGTGATGCTGCCATTAAAAAGGCAGAAGATAAAAAAAAATTTAAAGCTCTTTATTAACTTATCACTAAAATCTAACTATTCCACAAAGGTTACATACTCACAACAAAATTATGTTGTTAAGAGGACAGAACAACATTTGTCAGGATTTGTTTATTATCTGCATATGCAATTTATTAGCCAGTTGATCTACAAGATATTTATTTACCACAGGCAAACTAAATACTGTGCTTTTAAGAAACCTGCATAGAAATGTTTCGATGTTTCTTTTATTTCGGGCATATTTACAAAAGGATTTCTACGTGTGTTAGCAATAAATAATCTCAATATTCAAAATGTCAGTGCTCATGCACACACCGACAAGATGGTTGCATGCTTTAAAAATATTATTTACAGTACAGTCTCCTTCATAGCCCTCTCCCTAATAACAGCAGAAAGTGCATTTTCTTCCATATTCTTTCTTCTTTCCTTTTGTTTTCATTTAGTCTTGCTTCTGAGGGATACAGCCTTCCATCTCAACAACTTCTGGCCAACCTTCGTATTTGTTTGTGTCCTTGTTGTTCTTTATATGCTATAAATAGAAAACATCAATCTACCATTAATGTAAAGTCATTTATCCTTTTGCTTTAATTCACAACTTTAAAAGACAACTTCATTTACTTCTTTTCAAGCCATAGACACAGAGAAGACATCACTATTAGTCTCTTGTGCTTTGTATCAAATATAACAGTCTCCCAGTATTCATCACTTAATGTAATCTCCTTGGAGACGTGTAAGCTAAAAAAAGGCCATAATGTGGAATTTTTTTTTAAGATTTATTATGAATGTTTATTTAGGAAGAGAGACCAGCAAGGAAAGACCAGCTGCATTAAAAATCAAGCCATGGGGAAAAGTAGAATTCATAAGGCACTGAAAACAAATAGTCAGATTTTAAAGAACACTATTTCATGCTGAATGTTTGCCTTTTAAAAAAAAAATTGGGGGTTTATTTTTTTCCACCAAGCAATCATCTGCAGTCAGATAAGACATTACTGCCTCCAGGAGTTTGACACTGCTCCTGCTCTAGTTTCCACTCCCTCGCAAGGCTGCCAAAAAGAGAACACACCTTCCTTACTCTCCTGCTTCCAAGCTACCGTTACTGGTAATTAAAGGCAACAATGACATGCGCTGAATTGTAACAGCTCAAGTATGGGAACACATTCTATTTCACAAATTTTGTTATGGTGGCAATAACTTTGACAGAAGCAGAAAATGAACACAGCTGGGAACACCAACACCTCAACTACCACTTATCTGCTGGAACTCTACCACTGCTGGCGCATCTGAAAGACAAACCTTAGGCAGTATGTTTTGAATTCTTCAGTTTAACTGGATTCATTAAAAGAGAACGTATCTAGTTATTGGGATAATAAGATCTACCCCATATAAGATTTTTCTTCTTATCTACGAATCACCAAAGAATCTTTTTTGTACGTTCAAAAGGAGCAGGCTAGTCAACGAATAAATTCGAAAATAACACTGCGTGCCACTATGGTAATAGATACCCATCTTGAACAAATGCATGGTATTTATAAAACGTGCTATGCCTTTATTAATGTAAGCTGTTAAATTCCAGCAAGTTATCAAATCACAGACCTGTTCAAATGGACTTTTAGTCTTGATTCCTTTCCCACCGCAGAAGACCCAGTTGTCTCGAAAGCCAAGGTTGGTAATCGATGTGCTTCCTAAGTCAGCAATCAGCTTCCGTGCTTCCTCGTTAAGCCTTGAGCAAAACAGAGAGGTTCAGTATGTGAATAAAATACATGTCCTCAGAGCTTTCATTGTTCAATGGACCTTTCAGCTTTAATCTGACTAAATATAGTTTAAGTCAGTCAATATTGGGCAAGATCTGTCTGATCTTATCTGATCAGATAAGGCCAGCTCTGAAATCACCTGATCTAATGAGCGCTGCTCTTTATTATTCTAATCTCAGGGAACCAGCATACGAACCTATCAGTACACCAACAACAGCCAAGAACCATCTCCTGGGAGAATTTAATCACATATCTCAAGTCATGTTAGCAATTCTCCAAGTAACTACAAAAGTCAACCTTGAAAATATACATTGTTTGCAGGCTCGAGCTGCAGCCTAGATAAAGCAAAAGTCAAGATTAGAAAAATGATTTAAATATATGAAAGAATTTCTTGTCTCCTTGGGTCAATTATTTCAAAATTCAGAACACTGCCCTACAGCACAGTTCAGTGCCTGCAGGTCCAAGTAGGATCATGGGAAAACAATTCTGTAGGATAAATTACCATTCCAAAACCTCCAAATAAACAACTCTTTATTTCTTCCTTTGTTTCTAAACAACATACACAACTTCTGGTTATTAACTACTTACTGAAGTACAGTTGTAGGACTCACTTTAGCTAAAATTATGAAAATTATTAAGCACACTGGAGGTTATTTGAACAATCCACACACTAAGTTTCTAGAGCATTAGGGCAGTTTCTATTTTTAAAAAAATAAATTAAAAAACATTCTCTTTTAAACATGTTCTCCAGAACTGGCACTTAGGATTGCCATCAACCACCAATGGTAAGTTTTTTTGCTAATTATGTAATATCACTAATAAGCAGCAGTTCCTGGCTGCAAGCATAACGGGCCAAATTCACCTTCTGATTCAACTGATACTGTGTTCACATATAAGCTTTCAAAAACATCAGCTGTGACACTATTACTGAAACAAACTAACAGTACTTATTATCTAAAACATCAAGAAAGGAAACTGAGCGACAAGAAAAGTAATAAAAATAAGTGAATAGAACAGACAGAAGATCTAAGGTTTGGCATAAAGAAATGCTAAACTGCTCTTTTCACCAAAAAGCAGTAAACATACAGAAAAAAAATTGTACAGAATACATTAGCAGAAAGTTTAATATTATAATAACAGAGGAAAGGGAAAAAAACTCCTCTTAATTTTCACTATGAAAAGCACATTAATAAACTGAACACCTCTATGGTGGACCTGTACAACCACTGAGGCCATAAAATACGAGGCACAAACTAGTAACCTCTTGGACTTAAAAGGAATTATATAGGCAAGGGGAAAGGTCAGAATGGTCTCTGCACCCCTGTAACCATCAAACTCTGTCTTGGAGTTGATCTGAGAAAAGTGCTGGATGGAACAGACTAATTTCCACCAGAGCATGTTCCCAGAGTCATGTTCCTGTGTCTGGACGTATCTGAATTTACTAGCGTAAGACAGAATGAGCTACCAGCAACAGGAAAACGAGCGTATCTCCAAAAAGATGGGTATCCTCAGCAGAAGATATTAAAAGCCAGAGGTGGGTACAAATTATAGGACAGCAGCTAGGTATCTACGAGGTCTTCAGGAACCAAGCAGGATCAGGACACGGTTTTAAAAAAGTAAAATGCCTGACATGCAAATATATTGTCCATAGCTATGAATAAGTTTGTTGGACTGACCACGTGCTGCCCTACACTGACATTTTGTTGCATTAACATCTCTTCTCAGAGGAGAAAGATAACCGACTGTGTACTGATAGAGCAATTGCTAATTAGCCAACTGTTAATCTCTAGCCTTTTCAGATTTTCAAACGATTGTGATATTAAATTAGACCCTTTAGCAGAAATATCTAATTTATTGTTTCTCTATTGTTGAGGTCGCAAAAGTATACACCTTAACAGTCCTCTGCGTAAATACCTACTTAACCCATGAGACCTGGTCAGTTTTAATTTGATCCTCAAATCACAACAGTATCATAGAACTAGTAAGCATAGTTTCATATCTGTCATCTTGGAAGAAGAAAATTTTTGATAAAGAATGTATTTTTTTCAATACAAAACTGCACTTAAAAGTTTAAGCACTATTCACTACACGAATCAACGACATACTTGGTTGCACCATCATCATATGTTCCCATTAACACTATTGTTCCATCCTGAATGTTCTTCAGAAATTCAATGAATGGTGTCACATCTGAAAACAGAGAGAACGCAAAATTGTTTAATAACAAGCAACCACTCCATATCTAAAGCCCTGCAACGCCTTCCTGCCCAGACATTCCTTCTAAGAATATTGGTAAATGTACTTTTAAATCTATAAAAAGATGCTAAGTGGGAGAAAGATAAAACGCATCACAGAGAATTCTTTTATTTTATAAGAAGAGTTTCACCTGTGTTGTGTACAGACATAACCACCAGTGGGAACTGTTCAGGAGAACAAGTGTGTTGTGCCATTCCATTTCTTCCCACCTCAACTATTTGTTTTACTTTAAAAGTTGCATTCTCCTCACAATTACACAAGTAGATGTGAAGAACTCCGTTAACTATAATCTTAAAAAAAAAAAAAAAGAGTAAGTGGAGCCTGGACAAGGTGGGGGTAGGATGGGAAGGTGTGGAAGAAAGAAAGAAAGGGAATTAAAAAAAAAAAAAAGTTGTTTCCCTCTAACCAGCTATGATAATGGCACTTACCTCCTCCCCACATGTCAAAGAATTTAGTGTCTAGTGGTTCTCCTGTTTTACCTGGAGAAAAAGAAATATTTGGTGTCATCAAACACAACTAAAATTATTTTACAGACAACATGGCCAACTCCTCTTAATGACTCTTCCTCTGAAAGTGCTGCAGAAGACACCATATAAATCAATTCCTATGGTAACTCTTATCTCTTATGAAGATTGCTCCTGAAACAATACAGTAGTTTCTGAAAAGGTGTAGGAAAAGGTAAGAGAGGGGGAAAAAAAGAGAAGATGCCAATTTCTGATTTTGCTTCAAGTGGAATATAAAATAAACCAAAAGGTCCACAGCCTCTGAAACCAATAAAGAGAATTCACTTCATGTATTTGCCTTTTTTTTTTTTAAAGTTTTTTTTTGCAAAAAGATTGTACAGCTATAGGTTATTAGTAAAAAAGATTAAATTTACGCTGTTTTGCTATAGATTGGAAATTCTTAGTTGATTTAAACGTGCAGAATGAATAGAAGCAAGGGGACAATACAGTAATCTCAGTTTGTTCTGTGGGGTTTCTTTCTATGCTGTCTACAAAGGTTGTATCTGCTTGAAGGTAGAGTTTTCTTTTTAATACATACATATGATTCATTTAAAGTTTGGAAGACATGGAGAAGGACTGGCAGCTATGTAATACAACGACAGCTATTTTGGTTTTGAACAGATTGAGACAATTTAGGAGGGGAAAATAGGATTAGGCGAGTATTGCTCAAGCCATGCTTTAGATGACGTAAACCTGAGTATCATCCAAAAATAACAAACTTCCATTGCAGTGAAATAACAAGGAGCTACCTCAGTGCTACAAGGAACTGTTCGCTACACATTAAGGACAAATTTGCCAGTACTGATATACAGTTCAGCTTTCAAGGTGACACACAGGTAAATTTGGTTTTAATTAAAAGTTCAGAATCCTAAACACAATTACATAACGTGACATATTTAGTGACAAGATCTATAGATAAGAACTAATCCAATATACTGATTTTCAGCTAGGAAATAATCAGCTGGTCTTCCCATGTAGTAACAGAATTGCTAAATAAATTTCACTGAAAAGAGAATAATGGAAAAATTTAGCCTACAAAATGTTATTTGTGGCAGAAACACACAAATTCAAAAGTAGTAACACACATCTCGTGGTTTTTTCCATTTTATATGTGCATTAGGAATTTATCTGATGCAGCAGCAAAGACAGTCACCACAGCACTCCACATGACTATTTGTACTACACATTGTTAGAAATAAAAATTCACTGAGTTCTCTACTTTCTAAAAAAAAGGTCTAAGTGCCAAGACCTGACATTACTTCAGTATTAATATGTTTAATATTCCCTTCTCTCCTCCTGTTTGCTTTTCACCATCCCTTAGTATTCAACCTCACATTTCAGAAACAACTTGAAAAGTAAAACAATTTCCTCACTTAAAATGTGACTTACCATTGACCAAGGCCACATTTATTCCTCTGCCAACATTATTTTTAACTCCACTCATTAAACTGAAACAAAATAAACAATTTTATTTTTAATGGGACATTTTTTTTGCTGTGAAATATTTCTAGTTTTTAAATCAGATCAATCAATTTGTAAGAGATACATAGTTGAAAGACCACATGTTCATGAGTACTTAAATGAAGGAAAAGCTCCTTGAACTAATCTGTGTGCTTTTATGGCATCACTGAATTGAGAACAATAGATCAAATATCCCCAGTTGCATCCACTTCATTTGATCGCTTAATCATCTCGGTTTTAAAGTATGTGTGTATATTAAAAGTGTCACAAAAAATAAAGTTAATGTATTATTAATGTATTTAAGAAAATTCCTTGTGGTTAAAAAGCCTGAAACAAATAATAATTTGAGGAGCTTAGCACAGTCATGTACCGAACATTTTAAGAGTTTTTGTAAGCACATGATGGAAAAAAATATGTGTTAATGAGTTTAGAAGCTAACTGAACAGAGGCATTTAAAATTAATATTGCAGCATCGCACTAAGAAACAAGAACATCAAAGCAGTTAGCTACTTGTACCTACAGCAGGAAACCTAAATTCAAGAAAAAAAAAAGAAACAGTTAATACATTGGTGGGTCTTTAAACAAAAACTGAGTAGAATCTTGAGAGTACAGTTACACATGCCAAAAAAACCATCCCAATCTACGACAGCAACCACTTGGCCAAACTGAAGAGTGGCAGGAGAACTGCAAAGAAGAGGTGCCTTGTGAAATGGAAGCCCTTCAAGAGCTGTAAAGAAGAGCTAATGGTAAGTTCAAGACTGTTAGCTGGGCTGCTGTGCTGCCTTGGGCAATGGTGGCTGTAACGCTCCCGGGAGAGGAAGCTTCCAGACCTCCTCATTCCTTTTCACTGGCACCCTATAAAGATGTCTGCTCTGCCTCCAGGCCCCAAATATCAATCAGCATTAACATTTTGAAGCTAGAAGTAAAAGAGCTGACATAGACAAGGAGAAACAGAAGTAAGGACTGAAGCAATTACAATGGATTGAGATAATGAAGAAGTCTTCAGCTGAGATTAAAGAAAGCATCATAAGCATGTAAGTGCCCACATCTCAGTAATTACAAACACACTAACAGATGCTTTACTTCCACCCTGATCGGAGTTTCTTTGACCTCCCTAGTGTGCTCTAGGAAGGGGCTGCAGATGGATACAATCGTGTTACGTTCAAAACTCTTTTCACTTTTCTTCTGCAATCATATAGTTTTCAGGTTGTGTCTGAACATCTGTTCTAAACAACATTTAGGAAGGACCACATCGTTACACACAACTGCAACATCAGCTTTCTCATCCTAACGTTAGTGATATGCTAAATGGTAATAGAAAAACAGAAGTAAGACAAAGATCTTCGGCTCTGTTGCTATCTTTTGCTCCCAGGATGAAGCCAGAAGCCAAAGTTTAGAGGAAGGTCATAATTAATATCAAATTAAATATCAGGCACAGACTTGGTTTTAGCTAGCTTAGAGAGGCCTTGAAAGTCTACCGGTTAATGGTAACGCTTGGCAGATTGACTTAGGTTTTAAAGAACTAGTAATGAGAGATGACAGAGTCCATATTCTTCTGTCAGTCCTCCAAATTATACCATCTGCCAAAACTTCTGATTGAAATTAAAACTGTAATTCAAGAACTTCTGAATCAGAAGACTTGACATTTTCTGTGGAAATGCAGAATTCAGTTTTGGTTAGCAGGGAACTCCAGAAGTACTTTAGCCACTGGAAGATCATCTTTTCTCTGATTACATGGTTTTCATGTCATGTCTGAACAAATAACAAAAACATATGGCAAATGAAGACTGAAAACATAAATGAAAAGAAGTCAGTGAAGTTCTGAACACATTTCTTTGCTCATATAAAATTTCATGGACATTTCATTTACAAAAATAGTAAGGACTTTTTGTTTTAACTACAAAATTTTCTGTAAATGAATACTAGTCAAAAAATATCCAATACTGGGATGACTAGACACTAGAAATGTATCGTCCCTTCTTCCAAAACACTCATTAAAGAGCAACTACCATTTTTAATATTTTGAGGATGACTAGAGTATATTGTTTCTAATCTGGATTATGTGCTTCCAATACAGGAAAACAAAGTTACAGCTGAACTTTGCTACAGAAGAATTCTTTTTTCACACCAAAATATCTATATAATAAAAAAGAAAAATTGAAAAATTAAATGCATTCTGAATTATATCTTCACCTTTACTGCTCTCATAAACCAGCTGACATCCTTATGCTTAATACACAGCAAAAAACCTGCACTGTAAATATCATTGACAAATTATGAAAACTTGCCCCTGCTTCCTTGTCTGGGGAGTGTAAGAGTAGTAAAAAGTAATCAGAAAAAATGCATTTTGCAGGAATAAGTTCACAAAATATCATTGAAAAAAGAGCTACCAAAGAGGAAATAAGTTCTTTCAGAGAGGCCCGAGATACTACTTTACACACTTGCCATCACTTGTCCACTACGTCACAAACCCTACGGGCTGTAATGTGATGGTTTTCTCACAGGAGGGCAGCCGTTCATCAGTTTTGGAATTCTTTCAGTAATTTTCGATCAAGAAATTACAAGTTATGCAAGCTTTTGAAAGAGAAGCCAATCATCTGATGAGCAAAGCAGGAGAAAATATAAAATTGATCAATTTTTCTCATGAACGTTTAAACAGACATTACAAAGCCTCCCTCATAAAATCTTCAGAAAGATTTTTTCTAAGGACTTAGGACTCCACTAGCTGTGCACTAAGGTGTGTGCCAGTATTAATAGTACAGAGGATTTCTTGCCAGTAACTACTTTCTTTTCATCACTTTCTTCAGTGAAATATCCAGTAAAGGACTTACTTTTTTTGGACAGGAACAACAATCTCCTCTTAGTTAACCAGTAAGCCAGACGGACATTTAAAAAAACCAAATACGCACACACACCCTACAATCCTGGAGTTAAAAATATTACTTGCACGCCCACAACTTTTAATCAGTGGATCGCCCTAAGACTTCACAGGTATTAAGCTTCCTAGCAACCAGAAGCCAGCAAGCTCTGCAATGTCAACAAAAATACTGTGCAGAGAGATTAGATAAGAGTGTCCAAAGTCTCTAGGTGAACCAATGATAAGAAGGGGAAGCAGTACCTAGGAGCTTTTAGTTGGCATGTACCAGCGGTGAGATCACACTCCCATTGCACGTGAATCCCGGCCCCACCGCGATGCTCTGCTGCAAACGTTCCCCCGACACAAGCGAGCAAGCTTGAGCCAAGCCAGCTTCACAGAAAAAGGGCTTGAAATGTGAACTGTGCTTGTGTTTCCACTAATAACACAAAGTGAAAAAGCTGCAGGTGTTCAGCTGTCAGGGGGAAAAAAAGCTCCCATTTTAATTTCGCTACATCTTAATTGCCAGAGTTAGTGCTAAAAATAGGGTCTGCTCCTTAAGATCTTGTAAGACTAATCTTACAGAGTTCCTTTAGAGAGTTACGTGATGGAAAATGTAAACCAATACTCTTTATTCTCTTATATATTATTTTATTTGTTATGTGGAGTTATGTTCACAGTGAAAATGCCATTTGCTCTAGAATTTATCAGTACTAACAGCTGTAGCTGCTACCTGAAACACTCTGCACTAGCATAATGTGGGCTGAGAAACAGCTAAACTGGGGTAATTTAAATGCAAATGAAAGGCCAAGTGTGACTGATACTAGAAAAATCTCCTTCTGACAACATCATGTCTTTTCTGACAAGCAACATGCAAAACTGAGTGGATGCATTATGTTACACGAAGCTGCACGCTCTGGGTGACAACGAGCAGGAAGAACCTAAGAACAAAGAAACAAAGAATCTAAAAATAAATATTAATATTCCCATTCTGGGTATTACTGCAAGGTATTCAGTGAAATATAATATGCAGTGTTAAAAATAAGGTTATTAGAAATATAAGACAAACTCAAAATCACACTGTATTTCAAGAGTTTGTTTCCTCTTTTCACATTAAGTCTATGAACTTTAGTTACCATAAGAACAATTAAATAACTAGCAATGATTAAAATTTTTCCCTTTTGAAGTCATCCTTCAAAGAAAAGCAGAATATATGTTCTGATGTTGGTACTATGGAAATAGATAGTTTAAAGATGATTTGTGAAAGACAGTTTTAGCTGATGGCATCCAGCTAGAAACATCAAGAATAATTACTTAAAAATACCATCATTCATTGAATTACCATTAGAGGCACAAGAACAAGTTACTTGGAGGCAAATCTGCAGCTGTCTTGAGAAAGCCTAATCCTTAAGTCTGTAAACCTAAAATAAAGTGCAAGCTATCTTGCATGTATTAAAATGGCATGTACTGCAGGGTATTAAGGAGGCTTCATCAGAGATTAAGTTGTAATACACTATAATTTTTTAATGTGGTCAAACCATTGGCAAAGCAAAACCTGCAGAAAATCATTTAAGCTACTGATCTTGTGTGCAAAGTGATCCAAGAGAGCATGTGAAAGAGATACTTGAGACAACAGGTAAAAATACTTACATATTATCTTCTACACAAATTTTAGGTCCAACTACATTCGCTGCCCCACTTGCCATTTTGAATGCAAAATGCTTTTCAGGACAAGCTTTAGAGATCCCACATTTGTATCGTGGAGGTTTTGTGGCTTTCAAAAGAAACAAAACAGGATTTTAGAGACAACGCAATAGGTAGGTTAAAAGAAATACCAGTTTTCTGAAGGAATTCAAGGAAAAGAGCAAAGACAAACAGTATCTCCTCATCTGCAGCTTCACAGCAGCTTAAAATAGCCCAAGTTCCTGCAGTACATCATTATTCTACCTCTTGTTCTCATCCTGCTGCTTGCTCTAGCACTTATCAAAAGCCAAAAAACAAAAATACAAGTGAAATGTTGTCAAAAAACAGACTTTAGCAGATATTTAGGAAAAATCAAGAGAAGAGGAAAAATAGCTTGATTGCATTTAATGTGTAATTAAGATATTTTTTAACTATGAAAATTCATCAGTCTTTCTGTTATTAGCAAAAGCAAGTCACAGCAGTTATACATGCATACCAATACTCACAGCGTGCAGCTGCATCCAGTGCTGATCTCGCTAAAATGCAAAAAGAAAGTTTTGCAAGATGTTACTCTTAAAGTGTCATCTGTTATAAAATATCCTATAAATTTAAAATCTTTCTGTACCCCTGTAAAAAACAGGTTGGTTGAAAGGAAGCATCAACTACACTTAAGCATTATGTTCCAATAAAAACCATTAACCTTTACACAGGAGAAGAAGGAAAGCGATCAGGAAGCACTATCTTAATTTACGAATCTCTGATTAGCATGAAGATCCATGGAGATATAAAACCACTAGGGAGACACCGTCTCCCACAGCATCCTCATAGGTGAACTGAGGAAGTGTGGTCTGGATGACCAAGTACTGAGGTGGGTCGCTAATTGGTTGAAGGGAAGAAGTCAGAGTTGTGTTCAATGGGACAGAGTCCAGTTGGCAGCCGGTGTCTATGGGGTCCCTCAGGGGTCAGTGCTGGGGCCGGTGCTTTTCCATATATTCATCAATGACCTCAATGTGGGATTAGAGAGCGTTGTCAGCAAGT